ATGATCAATAACGTTGGATCTATAGGTGGCCATACACCTGCCGATTATCGTACAATAATCACGGGAAATCCCGCGATCGTATTATAATCGGCGGTGTATGGAAGGCGTGCGACTGTTTCTACTGTACGGTCGCACGTCTTTTGTCTTACGAGCATGTTTGAAAACCAGCCGAAAAATTTTAAGATTTTCGGCGGGTTTGTGGCCTGCTCGTAAGACAAATGCCGCACAGGCCGATGTGCGCAAGCGCACACTGCCCACTAAGCATTGCAGTCACCGGAAGCCCGCCCCTCAGCCAGATGGCAGATCGTACAAACTTTTAATTAGCTTACAACCATCGCAAGACGATAGTCTTGCGATGGTTGTAAAGTGTATGGCCAGCTTTAGAATGACTATATAGAGGTAGCAGACAATAATCATCACAATTATGACAAATCACGGCTTGAACTATCTTGCTTTGAATGTAATGAGTCTATCTCATATATTAGTTTCACCTTTTAAGTTGCATTAGTGAAATAAATGAACTTTTGCACCATATTCAAATTTTTCGAGTTTCACCTGAATACTCAGCGCAAGGTTAGGGCTACGTAGGGCATTACATGTCTTGAATCTCTCTACTGAGAGATGAAACCATTGAGCCTCCCTGACTGAAATCCAAAGATGAAAGCAACTGGCCAGGGACAATCAAGCTGGAGTGGACAGGGCTGGATGATTCTGGATGTGCTCCAACCAGGAAATAAAGCAGGCTCTACCTAACGTAACGATGAATGCACATTGTGAGCAGCCCAAAATGTGCAGTAAAACCAGAGTAAGCATTTTTGGCATAGGAGTGGAGCCTTTACAACTATTAAAGACTGAAGATAAGGCTGGACTTTAGCTTTCAGCTTAGATTACAGTGTGCTGTACTAGGGTTGCCACCTGTCCAGGATTCACCCGGACAGTTCGGGTTTTGAATGCTGTGTCCGGGTTTCATGGCAGCAGAAACCCGGACACAAGATGTCAGACAGACAGGGGCAACCAAAATTAAGATAGGGGCTACTGGCTCCCCACTGAAAATAGTCTCAACTGTGATATTTACATATGAATGGGTGGCACTATTTACTTATGAATAAGCCATGACTCATTCTCCCCGAAAAATATTCGCGCGTCGCTAAAGTGTTCGGGTTTCGCTTGAAGAAAAGGTGGCAACCCTATGCTGTACCTATGCAATAAATATGACAAAGTGCTAAAATTGTTAGGGCAGACATTTTGATCTGGCCAGTGTACAACAGTCAGTATATTTTTCATGAAAGACATTGGCTTATTGGATATCGGTGACAAAAGTGTTTCAAAGATCACCGATAGGTGATTTCTAAGGTAAGACCTAAGTCACTCGGCGAGTGATATTTTTTTTCTAGTGGTAGTAGTCTTTCACTTTTCTTCACCCCTTAGAGTCACAGGACTTGGGAGAATTATATAAGCCACCGTGGCTGACCTGTCCTTTTGAGAATGCTAGTTACTTGGTTGTCATGTTGAAGCCTTGGCTTCACTTTCTGAGCCACTGAGCAGGAACAGAAACAGATTACGAACGTGGACACTTTCCTCCCGCTCATTAATGGAGATTGAACCATTTGGTTGGTAGCCACCTTATTGGTATGACACTGATATCAATGCGCTCTGGTGAGATAATTGTCAACAAGTAGTTAAATCTTTCAGTAACAAAGTGATGTAATGACTGATGTAGCCCTAAGCCTTTAAGCCTTAGGCTTACTCTTCCAACGATGGAGCTTTGCTTGAATCCGGGATTTGAAGATTTTCCCAACTGTTGCTTGTAAGGGGATGTTTATAGTTTTGTATATTTATATAAATATTGCAGAGGTAAAGATGAGAACCCAGAGGAAGCATGGAGACTCGCAGTGGTAGAAGAAACACGAGGGAAGAATTATTATTTCATGTCTTATGCTTTTGTTTTATCGCATGTCAGGTTCAGCGGCTTGCATGATTTATACTGTAAACAAAACCATCAAATCTGATCTTAGAAAAACTAACGTCTTTTTTTTAGATTTAGATACATATACACACACACACACACACACACACACCCTTTGTTTAACAAACGTTTAATACATGACAAGGGATTTCCAAAGAACCATGGTTATCACGGTAAAGGAAGATTGATACGAGGCTCCATTTTCTTATTAAAACCTCCAGCTAAGACCTCTGAGATCACCATGGTTATTGTGAGCCCCCAATTCACACTTCAGCATTTTCAGGCAATTGTGAAGGTTTTTTGTGTGCATTTTTGTCACACATTTTCCAGGTGTTTTCAGGCCTTGCATTTTTGTTTTAGGTCAATGCAAAGCAAATGACTAAGTCAAGGACAGAACTCAGATGCTCCCATCAAAGTTCTTGGTTTGAAAAATGCGCCATGTTTCCCAAAAAAGGCTTATGTACTTTTTCACGCTACAGATGACAACACTAAGGTGTGAACGGGCGCCATTGAAAATAATGGGATTATTTTTGTTGAGCGTTGTGATGCCCTGGGGAAGCAGCAGCACAATGCGGAGGTGTGAATGAGGGCTGAATGTTGGGGCTCACAGCAATGTTCTGAGATGCTAAAAGGTCCAAGATGAGAAAAAAAAGAGCAATTTATAAAATAACATCACTGATAAAACCCATCATCTCCAACCTACTTTTTGCACCCCATCTTTCTGCAGGGTGATAGCAATGGGGACACAGACAGTAATTAAATTATCTTAAAGTGGAACTAACATAATATAGGCCCAGGACTTCTTGTTAAGATGGGCAAGCATGCATAGCATATTGTGATTGACTTATCTCTTGCAGCAATGCAACATCCGTGCTTCCACTAGATGCTCCATGTTTTCCAAGTTTTCCAAATCTTCAGTGGAACTCACATAATATAGTCCCCAGGACTTCTTGTAACGACAAGCAAGCATGCTCAGAATATTGTAGCAGACTTACCTCCTCCAAAAATGCAAACTCTGTGCTTCCCCTAGACTAGTGGTGGTGAACCTATGGCATGCGTGCCAGAGAGGGCATGTGAGGCCCTTTCTGCTGGCACGCAAGCCCAGGTTCAGGGACCACCAATTGAAATAGATCCGACTGACCCGGATCGCCTTGGTACGCGATCCGGGCCAGTCTCAATCAGGCAGCGGCCTCTAAACAGGCAGGTTAGACGGCTGCTTCCTCCTCGCTAGGACCCTGGGAGGGCCCCGCGAGCGGCCGTCTAATCTGCCTGTTTAGAGATCACAGACCCCAGGGATGCAGCCCCCCTCCCTGCAAAACAGGTAAGCAGGAGAGGGGGCAATGTTTTAAATATTCATTTTTATTAGTAGTTCTGTGTGTGTGTGTAATGTGTATGTGTTTTGAGTGTATAAGTGCCCATTCATACTGGGCGTTTTATCGCGCGATTTCCGCCGCATGATATCGCAAGAAGTCGCCATCCAATGCTTTTCAATGGAGCTGTTTTAATGTACAGCTTCATGTCGCCCGTCGCTGTCGCCCATCGCTCGTGCAGGACCTTTTTCCCACGGATGTCGCGCAATTTTTCGATTTTTGCATGCAGCCCGCCGGTGAAGGCCGCGCGATCGTCATTGGAACGTCGCACTATCCCGGCCGCGCGGAAATCCGCCCAGGTGAGTGTCGCTCAGTGTGAATGGGGCCTTAATGTTTGAATATGCGGGTTTCCCTATTTTGCTTAAGGCAGTGATGTTGAACGTTTCTTAAACCCGAGCACCCAAACTGCAATACAGTACTAAACTTATTTTAAGCACTTTGAGATAAATAAATTGATTTTGCGTCGCAGTTTGGGCACTCGGGTTCAAAAAGGTTCGCCATCACTGCCCTAGACACTCCACGTTTTTCAAGTCTTCTTCGGTGTCCAAAATCTTCAACCATCTCAATTGGCAGGCCAGGAATGACATAACTTTCCTCTGGCCACCCATGGAATGCTGAGATTGTACCTTGTGCATGTGCAAGTTCTGCTTCAAACAGAATGGGAAAGGACTAGAACATGTGTCCGGTCACTTAGTGTCATGTCACCAGGACAGGAAGTGAAATCTCCTGAACAGAGACCCGGATAACAATAAAAGCTGAGTGATGTGTTCACCATCCCATCACTGTACCTATAAAAGCGTTTTTTTTTTTTAGCTGGAGTTCCATTTTTAATTGCTATTGAATGGATAATTATTATTATTATACAGGATTTATATAGCACCAACAGTTTGTGCAGCGCTTTACAATATAAGGAAGACATTACAATCACAATACAATTCAAGGCAAGATGGTAAGGAGGGCCCTGTCCCTGAGGGCTTACAATCTAAAATGGAGGGACAAGTGATACATGAGGAGGTAGCTGTGTGGGGATGAATTGTTTGAGAACGTGATCGTTGAGCGGTTAGGTTGAGGTGGTATAGGCTTCCCTGAAGAGATGAGTCTTAAAGGAGCACTATGGGGTCAGTGTTTTCCCCCATAGTTCTCCTTAGGGTAACGGGACGACACAAACTAGCGTCCTCCCGTTACCCTAAGCTCAGTATACCGCAACAACACCTGTCCATTGGCCCCGGACACCCGGTTCAAACAAACAAGGGGGGTCTCCATAATACTAGGTGCATAGTCGCCGGGAAGGAGGCTGGCCGCCAACCCCCTCCAGGAGCCCAGGTCACGGTGGGTTCTGTGACATTTCTTCCCCACCAAAGGTAGTCCAATTAGGTACCAGCCCCCCAAATGGTCTGGACCTGCATTTGTCGGGCCGCAACAATGAGGAGGGAGTTGTAATAGTCAAGACGAGATATAACGAGTGGATGAGTAATTTAGCGTTTTAGTTGGTGAGGAAGGGGGCGTATTTTGGAGATGTTACGAAGTTGAAGGCGGCAGGATTTGGATAGTGATTGGATGTGGGGAAGAAAGGGGAGGTCCGAGTCAAGGATGAATCCAAACACATTTTATTTACATTCAATAAATGTATTATTGTCAAATAAAAAAGGACACTACACTATGAAGTCATCATAAAAAGAGATTTATTTATTTTACTGCTAGCAGGTCTTATACATTTATAAAGAGTTTTCCTGGACGTGTGTGCGGGGAATGGACTCAGTCTTCTCCTCCACAAAGCTTCAGAAGCAACTTCCTGTAATCTCCAGAACAGTCTCCCTGGAAATGTCAAGGAAATACTTTTACATGATGTAACCTGTCAAAATGTATTCCGCAGTTTATAGGGAAATACTTCTACCATACAATAAAACAATGTTCCTGACATCCTGATGAAATCTTTCTAGGTAAAGAGAAGAACCTGCAGCAGATTTCCAGAAGTCACGTAAATGATATTGGGTTCATTTTATAGCCCGGCCACATAAAAGGGAAATATGATCACTAGGAAATGAATAATATCACAACCTCTGACAAGCCAATCTTCACCTACTAAACTCCCCCTTCAGAGCACGTCATGAGATCTTCCCATTATAGCTCAGCGGACTAGAATCGGGATAAGTCCAGCTTTTATTGGCAGAGATGATTAGGGAGGGGATTTAAAAAAGCACTTGTGCCCCTTTTCTGGTGTGATGGCGTATTAGAAAGTCCTGCGCCAACTTCATGAAAGCCCTGAGAAAGTTTTTATTGCCATATCTGATGCAAGCGACACATTTAGGTAATTCCTATGTGTGGCACTTTTACATTCTGGCTCTGTGGCTAAAAAACATTAAAGATATTTTATTAACCCTTGCAGTGGGGTTACCCCCGCACTGCAAGAATTCACTGCTCGTTTTTCCAAAGGGTAAAAAACTAAAGAAAGAAGTATACTCGCCTGAGTTTCCAAGCCAATCGGCTCTTAGACTGGTCCCTTGAGCATCTCTCCCCCTCCGCTGCAGCAGTCTAGGAGTCCTCACATCCAATACAGTGTATGGATGTGAGGATGCCGAGGGGCAAAACATCCTTGCAGCAGAGGAGGAGAGGCTGAAGGGGGCGCTGCCAGATAGGAGGTTCAGGTGAGTATAACTCAGGTGAGACCGTACGAAAAACAAGCAGTTAACCCTTGCAGTGCGGGGGTAGCCCCACTGCGAGTGTTAATAAAATATTTCTGCCTGAAGTTCTTCTTTAGAAATGCCACCGTATTGGAGATCAGGAAAATGGAGGTAAATAAGACTTATTCGGAGTAAGTTGTGACGCACATGCGGGTATTGTGCCACAAAAATCTGTCTGAGGCAATTCTGTAACAGATCCATATACACCTTACCGACCGCTACATGAATCTGCTGCAAATTGGGTCATTTTGTTGCACAGACGGGAGACAGATTTCTAATGAATATCTATGACAAGCTTTATGATGTCCAGGAAATACTGAACATAACACTGTACCTGGAATTCATGAAGAGTGTCGTAGACATTCATTAAAAGAGAACTATGAGGCAAGTGATTTTCACTCATCCTCATAGTTCGAGCCGACGTGTGACAATGAAACTGTCACACGTCAGCTCAATAGATCGGGAAGTGAGCGAACGCATACCGTCGCTCGCTCACTTCTCGATCATGTCCCTACAGAGAGCCGTGACTGTCACTCACGGCTCCCTGCAGGGATCCCCCCCTTCCCTGTCCGATCATCCAGCGCTGACTGGAGGCACGAACAGGGGGAGGGGGCAGGTACAGCTGGTTCTGCCTCTAGATAGGCAGAGCCAGCTGTCAATCACGCAGCTGGGTGGAGTAATGTCTGGATCCGTCCCGGCTGCTGCGGTCTCAGTATACCGCGAGCTATAGCCCGTGATATACTGAGCTTTGGGTCACGGGAGAACGCTAATTTATGTCCTCCAGTGACCCTGAGGAGAACTATGGGGAAAAACACTTACCCCATAGGCATCCTTTAATAATCTGTCTCCCGTCCATGCAACAAATGGGGAAACTTGCGACAGATTCATGTAAGGTGTTTATGAATATGTTGCAGAATTGCAATGTGTCTGCACAATACTTTTTGCTGTTACTGTTTAAAAGCCCTTCCATGTGCACTTGCTGTAAAGCTGGTAACAAATTGATGAGTGCGTTTGCCATTTATTTTGCAGGACTGATTTGGTGTAGTGACGCATGGGGGTCTCAGCTGCCATTGTGATGTGCGTGGTCCCTTGTGTGTCCCTGTGCCTTTAAGGGAGGTTGGGGTTCCTCCTGACAAACCTGCACCCAATTTGATCTTTTGCCACATGTGCTCCAAGATGGAGACTCTCATAGTTTAGAGTTAGGACCACACTATATAGGAGGTGCCTTGGCGCGGCTGTGCGGCTTTCACATTTTCTGCAGAAGACGTGTATCTAAACGTTTGTTTTTAACCTTAGCGGTGAGACAAGTTGTTTTACATGCTGGCTGGTGAGTGTGCCGGGAAGCTTTTTGCTGCAACACAATACTGACATGTGACACAATTTACTCCAACACTGTTACCTCCACCTTTATTGATCACCGATATGGTGGTAATCCTTAATGAATTTGTCACAGCCATAGTGGCAGAATGTAAAAGAGCTTCATGTTTAGTCACGCTGTAAAGTATTTCACAACACCACAAAAACACAACAACTAAAATCACTTTTGAAAATGTTCCTTTAGAAGCAGCCTGGATCTCATTCACGTCAACGTGCAGTTTGGCCCCCACCATGCATCGCTCTCACCTTGATAAAGGAATGCAGAGACTTGCCATACATCTTCTTGAACTCTGAGCGGATTTCCAACATGTCAACTTCACAGCGAGAAACCATTACTCTGATAAGCGTGTTGTCGTCTGTGCCCAGGCCCTGTGACATGAAGAATGGATTCAATGCTAATACAAGAGAAACAAATCAAGTAACCCATTGGAGTGCATGCTGAATGCAAATGGTTGTGTAGGTACGATTGGGGAGCATTCTTACGATGCAGTGTGATAGGCGCACTTTAAGAGGACTTTACCATTAAGAGATTGTGCAATTTATTCTATTTATACAACACAATAGGGGGGCGGGGTATCAAAACTGGAGCATTTTCAAAGATTATAGCAGTGCTAAATGCTCAGACGTTTCCAATAATAAATCCAGATCAAACAAATACACATTCCCTTGCAAAGTATTCCTTTACATTTTTACCCAAGCGCTTACATTCATCATGTTTCTGAACAGCTCCAACTCTCTCAGCTCGGCTTCCCTGAATTTCCTGTCTAGTACAAGATTACAAGGGACAGTACAGTCTCCAGCAGCCATCTATCTACTAGTTTGGAGAAGACATGAATGGGGGGGGAAAATATTTCCCAGGTTGGGGAAAGTTTGAATGGGGGGGGGGGGAGTGGGTTGCCCTGCTGTGTCTGTATTTGTGGAGACACACACAGCTTACTAACACACACATGGGGGGCTCCATAAGACCCTGAAAGGGAAAGGAGCCACCCTAAAACAGGATATCGGGGTCAGTTGATTCTGCAGGAAGCTAAAACTATTAAACACCAAGAAGTAGCATTCATTGTAAGCGATTTAATTAGCATTTGAAATCGTTATTTATACATATTTGTATTATTTATTTATTACAGGTATTTATATAGTGCCAAAAATGTACGCAGCACTTTACATAGTGCACATTCACATCAGTCCCCTGCCCTCAAGGAGCTCACAATCTAAGGTCCCTATCTCACATGCATACATAGAGGGCCAACTTATGCTGGGTCCACACCTGGGCGTACGGAATATGCGCATTTGCTGTGTGTTTTTACCGCGATTTGCGGTAAAAGAAACGCGCTAAAAATGCACATTTACGAGGGCTATCCGGCTGTATCCTAATGGATACGCGCAGCAAATACGCCCAAAGAAGCTCCTGTACTTCTTTGGGCGTATGACGTTTTTCAGCGCGTTCCTACGCGCTGAAATACGCCCATGTGGGAACCATGCCCATAGGCAATTATTGGTTTTCACATGCTGAGCGTTTTACAGTGTGTCTCTACGCGCTGTAAAACGCACAGGTGTGAACCAGGCCTTAGAGAGGAGCCAATTAACCTTCCAGCATGTCTTTGGAGTGTGGGAGGAAATCGGAGTACCCAGAGAAAACCTGCAAAGGGAGAACATGCAAACTCCTTGCAGATAGTGACCTCGCTGGGATTCAAACCGGGGACCCCCAGTGCTGCAAAGCAGAACCACTAAACACTACGCCAATGTGCTCTAATATCACTTTAACAAAGCAAACTGAAGATAAAAGCCGATTGGTTATTATGGACAACTGTCCTAGATTCTGTTTGCTCCAGTTTTGATACATTCTCCCAATGTTGTTTACAAATGTTTATCCATTATAACATTGTGAAGTGGGCCGATATCAATTCACTGTTATTATTATTGTTGTAAAACCGCTGAAACGCTTTCTAACACAAAATATAAATCTATTCAAATGGAATGAGAAAAAGACAATCGACCCGGTCTAGCCAGGTGTATCGAGTAGTTAGGTTACATAGTTAACTTTTTTGTGTGGCTTTGGATAAAGAGAGGGTTATAACCCCCGTTAGTTTTTATTGCCATCGGTGTCTCATTGGGGAGATTTCCCTTCACTTCCTGTCCAATAACCACAACAGGGTGTGAAAAGAAATTCCTCCAAAGAGAACAAAATCCCTGGTGGTCAGCAGGGTCACCAGAAAAATGTCCATTAGAAGATTTCCTATCTATTCCTGTTCTGGTGACAACCCAAAATTTGGGATTTTAGTTCACTTTATCGGTCACCAGGACAAATAGAGAAGGTGGATCTCCCTACTTGGGACACAGACAACAGAAAATCCCTCTCCACTCTATACAAATGTTTTAGATGGTGCGGTGAGGGATTAGAATACCTGATGGGTATTTCGTGTTGTATTATTTTTGATTCCACGCCAAGGAGCCTAATCTTACCAGCAACCAATAAGAAATATATCCAATACAAGGCACTGTGCTTTCATATCCAAGCACTTGTCATATGGGCTGCACATGGATATGGAAGCGATTTTAATGGTCTTGATTTGAATGGATGTATGGCGGTTTTGCACTAGGAGTTATTTTAATTTGACTTTAAAAAACCTTTAAAAACTTGGAACCTTTGGATGGGCAAAGGCAGTTTGGATGTGGGCTATTATTTCATGCAAAGTTTGACCATAGTCACTATATAGGTCAGTAATTCTCATTTGGGGAGTGTATATTCCTGAAGGGGAGCATTCATTCTAGTGATTTGCAAGATTGTCACTTAAAAGGAGAACTATGGGATCAGTGTTTTTCCACATAGTTCGCTTATGGGTCACGGGAGGACATAAACTAGCGTCCTCCCATCACCCAAAGCTCAGTGTACCGCCATTAATGTCCCGACATTACTGTCGAGATCCACCCAGTTGCGTGATTGACAGCTGGCTCTGCCTATCTAGAGTCAGAGCCAGCTGTTCCCGCACCCTGCAGGGAGCCGTGAGTGACAGTCACCGCTCTCTGCAGGCACATGATCGAGAAGTGAGCAAGCAACGGTATTTGTTTGCTCACTTCCCAATCTATTGAGCCGACGTGTGACAATTTAATTGTCACACGTCAGCTCGAACTAGGAGGTTGAGTGATTTTCACTCACCTCATAGTTTTCCTTTAACTCTTGAGCATGGTAAAGGGATTTTTTTTGTCTGAATCACACAAAGAAGTGAATAGACTTGTCTACAGATCATTGGGATTTGATTAAGCTATACAGGTGAAACTCGAATAATTAGAATATCGTGCAAAGTTCATTTATTTCACTAATGCAACTTAAAAGGTGAAACTAATATATGAGATAGGCTCATTACATGCAAAGCAAGATAATTCAAGCCGTGATTTGTCATAATTGTGATGATTATGGCTTACAGCTCATGAAAACCCCAAGAACCCCAAATCCACAACCTCAAAAAAGTAGAATATTACATGCAATCAATAAAACAAGGATTGTACATAGAACAATATTGGACCTCTGAAAAGTACAAGCATGCATATGTACTCAGTACTTGGTTTGGGCCCCTTTTGCAGGACTTACTGCAATTACTTTTGCACGATATTCTAATTATTAGAGTTTCACCTGTATAGTCTATTTATAATGAATTTGCAGAGCCATTTGCCCTACAAATCTTTGTGAACGTTTGCCCTGTTCAAATAAACACTAAAATGAACGTTCTTAGATATACTGTATATTCTTTTCAGGTCGAATATAAGAAATTAAATAAATACTGTATTTTGGCCACTAGATGGAGATGAGGAGCTTAGGAAAGAAGTAATTTCATAAACTCCTCATCTCCATCTAGTGCCAATAATGCAGTATTACATTATATACATTAAACCTGAAACGAACATACAGTATCTCTAAGAATGTTTGTTTTTTGCATCTATTTTCACAGAAAGAACATTTACAGGGTTATTCACAAAAGGGTGAAGAGTTTGGAGAAGGCAGGAGAAGTGAACAATCTAGGACAACATAGCTGAACTGGAAACATTTTCCAATGCAGCTCACTTTCCAGCTCAGCTATGTTGTCCTAGATTGTTCACTTCTCCTGCCTTCTCCAAACTCTTCACCCTTTTGTGAATAACCCTGTTAGAAAGATTTGCAGGGCGAATGACTCTGCAATTTGGAGATGACCCCTAAGACAGTAGTACCCGTCCCCTCCCCCGTCAGTTCTGCCAGTCAGATCACTCACGGTGACTATCACTCACGGCTCTCTGCAGGGACAGGATCGAGAAGTGAGCGAGCAACAGTATTTGTTCGCTCACTTCCCGATCTATTGAGCCTAAGTGTGACGGTTTCATTGTCACAGGTCGGCTAGAACTATGAGGATGAGTGATTTTCACTCGCCTCATAGTTCTCCTTTAAGCTTTCATTACCATACATCCAGCAATACACACACACACACACACACACACACACACACACACACACACACACACACACTTTATATAATTCAGAAAACAAGGTCGGCATTCTTAGAGACCCGTAGCCTAGTTTTACTTGAGTTTTCGTGCTCTTTTGTTCCCTCCGTCTCTTTAGCTCTCTCCCTGCCTTGAAGCAGACAGCCGAGCTGTAATGAATGCCAAGTGGAGCCGCTGCTACTCTCTTCATTTGTCACATGGGGTACGGCTCCACTGGAGCTTAAAAGAGCAAATCCTTCAGCGACATAGAAAAAGTACCCGAACATTACCAGAAGAACGCATGACACTGCAGCTTCCTCCTTTGAGAAGTTTCTAAAAAGTGACTCAGAGCTGAAGAAAATATTTTAGGAAAATGTATTTATATCTCTTCTCTTGGCATTCAGGATACTGGAGGCCACGCCAGCCTCACCGGGTACCTTCTTCATATACATAGACAGTGTCAATGCTGGACTCCTATTTTTATGCTGCATGTAGGCCAAGTCTCTAAAGCTGCGCCATGCATACTTTATACTATTTTCTCTTTTTTATGAGCATGGTGCTGGTTACAGATGACCAATTGCCCCCTATAAAATTTTAAAATTGTACTTGTAGTGACGTTTCTCTTATTAGGGTCCACTAGGGCCTCAACATCACCTCATGCCAACATCAAAGGATTCTGAAATGAAAATCTCTATGAAGCCAGAATCAGATGATGAGGTGGCCTCGGGATGTGCTTAAATTGTAAGTGGAAAGAAGGGACCACATGTGACAAGTATTAATTAACTGCCTGTGCACGGTTATACACACTAACATATGCCAACCTATTAAAATAGGAATGGTTAGATAGGGATGACTAGGCGACTACAATGTAAGCCTACAAAACTCAGAAGCTCCTAATATATTACACGCAAGAGAACAATCTAACATTATGTTTCCCAGCTAGGGTTGCCACCTGTCCAGGATTCACCCGGACAGTCCGGGTTTTCAATGCTGTGTTCGGGTTTCATGGCAGCGGAAACCCGGACACAAGATGTCAGGCAGACAGGGGCCACCAAAATTAAGATAGTGGGTACTGGGCCCCTCTGAAAATAGTCTCAACTGTGATATTTACATATGAATGGATGGCACTATTTACATATGATAAGCCATGACCCATTCTCCCCCAAAAAATGTCTGCATGTCACCAGAGTGTTCGGGTTTCGCTTAAAGAAAAGGTGGCAACCCTATTCCCAGCAACCAGTGTGAATACCTGATTATGGCTTAGTGTCAGCCCATTGCAATCACCTGTACAGCAGAGCTAAAACTTGGAGATAGAGAAGCAGCATATGGAACCAGTCAGCCGTGCTGCAGTACTCATGTGCTGGCAAGGTACATGCTGACAGGAGGAGAGAGAAGAGTAACAATGACATTAGCTTAGCTGCTGCTCCTCTTTACTATCCAGTCACAGGGCTGGAACCAGGGAGGATGCAGTAAAGAAAAGGTCAGGTCTCCATGCTAGCTATGCTGTGGGGCAGAGATGTGCACATTTTAGGAATGAATGATTTGCAAATCATCTGGCAGCTATACAGCTTTCATATAAGCATTTAAAGCTCCAGGGAAACCGCCCCATTTACGGATTTAAGGGATAATGTAACGTTGCAAAAAGTTAGTGTTTCTGCAAAGCACTGAAAATCACTGGTGTTGGTGACCCAGGGGGAGCAGTGACTTCACTCCCCCTGGGTCATGTGACAGTGCTTGGGTCTAGCAACTGGCTGACAGGCCTAAGCCAGAGCAATGCACCTGATGGTGTTACTGGCTTCAATGCAAAAAAATAATAAACGCACATTTTTTTTTTTTTTTAATGAATTTAAAGTGACATTAAACCCTCAGATTTTGTAACATAAAACAATACTGTAATGTGCGCCTTACTGTAATCCATGGTTGTTTCCCTTCTCTTTGCTGCTCTTCCTTTTGAATCTGTATCTGTTCTCATGCTCTGCAGAACTTCTGTTTTGCAGCAGACTGCCTTGTCTCTGGAATGGCTACATGGTGTCTGTGTATAGGTTTGCAACCTGAGCCAGCACTACAGGAAGAGGCACTCAGCTGCAAAGGGAAGTTCTCCCCAAGCATGAGAAGACATGAGGATTTAAAAGGAAGAGCAGCAAAGAGAAGGGAAACAACCATGGATTACAGTAAGGCACACATTACAGTATTGGTTTATGTTCAAAAATCTGAGGGTTTAATGTCACTTTAAGTGAATTTATAATTTTTTTCTGAACAAGTGGACTTTGCCTTTAGCATTACATAGAAGGGGAAAACCAAGTAGTGGTTTATGCAAGTTTAGCGCTACCCACTAATGAGCCGCTGGAATAAACAAGTCTTCCATAGCCTCTCTAGGGGATTTTAATAACCTGCGGCCCCAATAGTATTAACCGCCGTCTGCTTGTTACTGATAGAGCTGAACTCCAGGCCACAGGTATGATGCTGAAGAACTTTTATTAGAACACATGAATTGGGAAAGAGATTTTATGGCTCAGGACTTCCATGAGACAGAACAGAACTCCAGACTCACCAGTCCCTTTTAGTATTCTACAGTGTAGGAGTAATAGGCGAACCCTCTGGCACTGGGTATGAGAGCAACAGCCGAAGAGCGATGGGCATGAGATCTTCAGTAGGAGAGACACCAGACTTACTCCTGAGGTCCATTCCATTGGACACCTCTAGTAGCCATCAGCTTCCCTGGTTCTCCTCCTCAAATCAGTATTAGGCCTCCTCCAAACTTGAGGTCTAGCAAAGCATTTCACGCACGTGAGCATTCCCATTCCCAGCCCTAAACCTGGGGGCAGGTTGGAACTCCAACCAGGACTGGGCTAGGACAGGACTGAGCACATGGAAATTCCCCTACCCAGCATGCACCACTGGCCATGAAACCACCGGTGATTGGCTGGCAAGACACACACACAATGCCCTCCTATTGGTTGCCCCACACTGCACACTCCACTCAGACAGGTACCATCAATGCTAGAACACCTGGAATTAATCAAATAAATGCCAACTATAATTCAGCCATGCTGACTACAGCTCTGGCAATCACTAAATTTCTAGTAGCCATTCCAAAAAAGGTGATGGGGGCTACATAAGAAAAAAGGTAAGCTGCAATTGTTTAATATTTTTATGTTATGCTATGTAAATGGGGACATGCAGGGCCATCCCTATAATAAGGCAGGGCCTCAGGTGGCATCTCATTGGGTCACACCTGCTCCTGGCAACTTGTGACATTAATGAGCTGGATGGGAAGGCTGTGCACCACCAGATGCCTTCCCCGGAGACATGCATCATGAGCAACAAATTTCCCCCCCCAGGGCCTGTAGGCACGAATGGAAATCTGTTTAGCCTGAGCCAACGTCCCTTAACTGCTGCGGGACCCGCTGGCTTTCACAAATGCAGGGGAAGGCTGCCCTGTAAAACGCCTGCCTGATGTGAACAGGAGTTTAGGGCAGCCTTCCCCTGCGTTTGTGGAAACTGGTGGTTTCTGTGTGAGCCGCTGGTCTTGGAGCAGGAAAGTGCTATTGTGGGTGTTGTATCTTAACACAATACTGGGAATTGGGAAGAGTAGGTACCTGCACGGCACCCCTCTATGCAGGGCACCTGTAGGCACATGCCTTCTCTGCCTAATAGTAAATCCGGCCCTGCCTCCCCCAGTCTCAGGCCGCATATTGAGCCCTGCCAGCCTCAGGTGGCAAGCCTTACGGATACCCCTTGGAACATATATAATGTAGGTGTTATACCAATTTGGCTGCAGAAGTGAAAATACACTTTAAGGAACACAGTGGTGTCATCTCTCCACCTGCAACCTACTGATGGGACAATGAAGGAGCCCCAACACACTGATGAGCCAGTTACTCAGCTCACTCTGTTCTCTCCTCCCTATCAGCATGTTTCCTGTGCATGCAACAGAGACCTCCCCACACCCAGGTCTCATTGCCGCCGTACGAGGATAACGAGTGGTTAATCCCAAGACAGATTTGGGTACATTACATATGTAAGTTGTATTTTTTTAGGAATGTGCTACTGCATCAAATAGTGTTTTTTTAAATTACTGTGTGGAGTTCACAGGTAGCCAGGAACGATTCTTGCAGTGCGCAAAGAGAAAACAGATAAGAAGAAACAAAGCTGTACAAAAGTGCAGAGAACACTTGTTCTTGTTCACTTGTAGAAGGCTCCAATGATCACATTGAAAGTGGAGGCTGTGTGTTTAGTAGAATAGTCAGCAGAACTAATAAAAGCCAATAAACAAAAACCATCTTCACATCAGCTGAGAAGAATAAAAAGCAGACGTGCTGCTGGGTACTCCCCACTGCAGCATAAACATTCTTCATTTCCCGAATTACACACACCGGATCACACCGATGGAGTTCAAGTTCTCATTCCAAATCTCAACAGCCTCATCCGTGTTTTCGGATCAAGGATGATAATTAGAGAGAGCCTAGGAAGCTCCGAGTGTATATTCTACACAGAGATCTCAGACTGGAACCTCTAGAGATTGCAGCCCTTCTCTCCGGATTGAATTTGCTCACGGGTGCAATGAAAGATTTCATTGAGCAGAGGACGACAACTCACCTTCATGGATTTATACAATCGTTCAGCAAAGTAACCGGGTTTGCTCCTTGTACATTTCACTGGAAGAAAAAATTCATATTAGATTACAAGGGAATTCAGACTAAACAGCTCTAATGTAAGAGGAGCCATGGACTCAGTGACTGGAAACACAGATGTAGAAGCATAGACCTGGGCAGAAGACGTTTCATCATACCAGTGGTCAGGGTGTAGAGTGCAGACCAGTGTCACCATTCTCCTCACACCGTGTGACAAATAAGCCAATCAACAACCCATCGCAAATCAATCTTTTCTCTGGCTACCCCTGCCCTATATGTAAGCAAACTTCAGCCCTCCAGCTGTTGTGAAACTAAAAGTCCCACAAGGCATTGGCATGACGTCCAGAGGCAAATGCATGATAGGATTTGTAGTCTCACCACACCTGGTGGGACAAAGTTTGGCTACCACTGATATAGGGCTTTTTCATCAAGTGAATTTGAGTTACTCTCAATAAAGATGCCCAAAATAGAGGCTCATTGAAACATTCTAAGCGGATACAAAAGCAAAGCGTTTTCAAACCATAAGCTTCTGAATTTGCTTTATGAAATCAGAGGGCACTAAAAGTAGGACATATAGGTAGCGGGCTGAACGAGGAAAAAACACTCCAGTCTCCCATCCCCCTACACAGCGTGGATGGAGGGCTCTTCCCTGCCAGCTATTGTACCTTCCAGGCAGGGGACAGCTGCAGTCACTGCTCAGGTATTCTGACAGCTGTGGACGCCGGCTCTCAGAATACCTGAACAATCACTACAGCTGATAGGATACAGACACTGTCTTGCCCTTGTGTGCCCACCCATCCTCCCCCCAAACTCCAGGATGTTCAAACGTTACCCTAGTAGTGGGGCTACCCTCACACTGCAAGGGTTAACGGCTCATTTTGGTCTAGGGAACAGAATGAAGAAGATATTCTCACCCGATCCTCACCCGATCCTAAGACAGTCAGCACTCACCTCTCTCCCCTCTACTCTGGCTATAGTACGTCCCTCTGCGTCTTCTAATACACCTGCTAGATGTGATGATGTCATGGGTCCTTAGACCACTGGAGACTAGGGGAGAAGAGGCTGTGGGGACTGGTTTAACAGCCAGACGGGAACGAGCATCAGATGAGTACGTTTTTCTTTATTTGCGTCCCTAGACCAAAATGAGTAGTTCACACTTGCAGTGCGTCGGTAGCCCCACTGCAATGGTTGACTTTTGAAAATCCTGGATTACCATTAATACATCATGCTGTGTAATGGCAAAGGTCACATAGGACCACAGTAGGGAAATCTCCAGCTGCATCCTGAGAGTAGCGCTTTTTCCTGGGTCAGACCCTGGCCACTTGCTGACAAGGAGGACTGGCCGTGCATGTTATACTCACATGTTCCTCGGAGCTCGCTGGCACCAAGACCAGTCCCTGGAGCCTCTCTCCCCTTCTCCCTTCTGCTGCAGCGATATAAGGATCCTCATTTTTAGATTGTAAGCCCTCAGGGGCTGGGCCCTCCTTACCATCTTGCCTTGATTTGTATTGTGATTGTAATGTCTTCCTTATATTATAAAGCGCTGCACAAACTGTTGGCGCTATATCAATCCTGTATAATAAATAATCACATCCAATACACAGAGGGACATTCCATCGCTGCAGAGGACGAGGAGACAGGCTTCAGGGAGCGCTGCAACAGCCAACCAGCTCCGAGGCTCGGGTGAGTATAACTTTGTTATTTTAACACCTACACACAAACAAGCACTTAACCCTTGCGGTGCAGGGGTAGCCCCACTGCAAGGGTTAAGAAAAAAAGTTTGCCTAGATTTCTTTAAAGGAGAACTAGGAGGCAAGTGCTTTTCACTCACCTCATAGTTGTAGCCGACCTGTGACAATGAGACTGTCACAGGTCGGCTCAGTAGATCGGGAAGTGAGCGAACACATAGCGGCGTCTCCGCTCACTTCTCGATCCTGTCACGGCTCTCTGCTGTGACACGGGAGGGGCTGGATTCCCCCTCCCCGCTCAGATTCTCCAGCACTGACTGGCGGAACGGACGGGGAGGGGGCGTGTACAGTTGGCTCTGCCTCTAGATAGGCAGAGCCAGTTGTCACTCACGCAGCTGGGCGGATCCAGACATAATTGTCGAAAATTGTGGGAAAAGCCCTAACCCCATAGTTCTCCTTTAACGGTTCCAGTGCCTGTACTATTGAGTTCTGCTTGCTGCAATATCTACAGCATCCAGGTGGACGTTGGATGTGTCAGACTCCTGGTCCCACGCTGTGCACTATAGTTCCTTCAACCAGCCCCTACTAGGGATGCACCGATACCGATACTAGTATCGGTGCGGATACTGAGTATTTGGGCGAGCACTCGTACTAACCCAAATGCTCCAATGCCTTCCCCGATACCGGAACTTCTGGTCAGCGGCAGTGCCGTAGGGGAACATGGAGCCGGCTTCCCATGCGGGAATCTGGCTTGTTTCCCGGCCAAGCACAATCAGAAGCCGGCCCGACAACATGGAGCCAGCTTCTTGTGCAATCAGTTTGCACGGGAAGCCGGCTCCATGGCAGCGGAAGCACCGGTATCGACAAGTACAGAAAGCAAAGTATCGGTACTCGTACTCTATACTGAAAAAACGATATTGGTGCATCCGTAGCCCCTACCTTACGATTGTGTGCTACAGTGATATAGAGGCCGGCAGAGGAAACCAGAGTGCAGCAGAGAAGGCCAACATCTGGAAATATCTAGTGCAGGTCATTCTTCAACAAGCTTGGGTCTCTAATGCAGCAGTTCAGCGGCATGGGCACCAGTGCAGGTAAATATTAACCCGGAAATGGTGACAGTGTCTCTTTAAATATAGCACATTAGGACTTCTACATAATGACATTTTCAAAGTTATTTCCCCGCCACCCACCAGCCATTCTAAAGAAAGAGACTCTGAACTTCATTGCCTCCATAGAACAAGCAGAAGGAGAATAATAAGATTACAGAACACCTACCAATGGCCAGGAGAGCATCTTCAAAGTGTCCAGACATCTCAGATTTTATACTGGCCTCAATATCTTTTTTTGAAATCTTTTTATATTCATCGAAAACTGTTAAAAAAAGAAAAAAGGAGAAAAGGCTGAGCTCAAGCTGTGCTCGCACTGCATACTTCAAAGAGCTTTCTGGCAAGATGGATGCCTCATAACAGCATGGTGGAGGAGCGAGTAATAACAGGATTTAGATCAGCTAAATGTAGCGTTTGTCAGAAAAATGAAATGATACGTCTCAGTTAAACCTGTTACATTCAGGAAGAATAAAATGTTGAAGGATTATAGGAAGATTTGTTATATCTTATTACAATTACAAGGATCGCAATGTACATTCCTTAAGCCCTCATTCACACTAGAAAAGGCCGGCACATAAAGCTCCGTGCACGGCCGTATCAGGCAGCTCCTAGCAAGGACAGGTACTGCATGTGATTAGTGATTCCCATCCTCTGGAATTCTTTACCCCAACCTGTCCGTCTGTCGCCCACCTTGACTGCCTTTAGGCATTCTCTAAAGACTCATCTCTTCAGGGAAGCCTATCCCACCTCAACCTAACCACTTAACCATCACGTTCTCAAACAATTCATGCCCACACAGCTCCCTCCTCATGTATCACTTCCCCCTCCTTTCAGATTGTAAGCCCTCAGGGGCAGGGCCCTCCTTACTTGAATTGTATTGTGATTGTAATGTCTTCCTTATATTGTAAAGCGCTGCGCAAACTGTTGGCGCTATACACTGATTGGCCAGATTATTATGACCACCCCATCAGTACTTCGTTGGGCCGCCTCGTGACTCCACGAGATGTTGAAAGGTGATGCGAGGAATCTGACACTGCACTGTTGCCCTTCTGTTGTCTTGTACCAGTCTTGCCACTCTCCGTTCTGCCCTAACATTGACTAGAAGCTGACGGTCACAATTCGCACATTCAGACGCAGATTTTCGTCTGACAGTCCAGTCTTTAAACACTTTAACAACAGCTGCTCTTGAACATTTAACAAATTCTGCTGTTTTGCTGATACTCGCTCCATGGCTCCGCCCCAACAATCATCCCACGTTCAAAGGCTGTTAAATCGTGTTGTTTCCCCGTATCTTCAGAAAAAAATTACTTCTGTCGTGGTAAACAACCTGCTTCCCTATTTATAATGGTCTGGCCCTCTAGCAACTTCAGTGCGAAATTATAGCTAATTTGCCTACAAACCTCAGGTGGTCATAATAATCTGGCCACTCAGTGTGTAAATCCTGAATAATAATAATAATTATGGGACTACGCGGTTGTTTGCTCCCCTACGCTCACCCGCCCTGCACGTTTGTGTGGGTGTCTGTACTCGTACGCTGACAAGATGTATCCTATCTGCGTCAGAGCCAGGAAACACGCACCCCTACGGACCTGCACTTGGGGTGAGTGTAGGGCGGCGTACGGCCGCGTACTCCCATAGAGAAGGACGGGGGCTGCGTACTAATCACACACAGCACCTGTCCTTCCCGGGAGCTGTCCGATACGGTCGTGCACGCAGTACGGAGCTGTATGGTCCAGCCTTTTCTAGCGTGAATGAGGGCTTAATCATGATCTACCTCATTTATAAAGGCCAACTCCAGCTAAACACTTTTGGGGCTGATCTATAAATCTCTGCCCAGCTTATAAGCGGGGCAAATGTCATTCGCATGGTGCTACCACCACTAGATGGAGCCTGAGGAGCATAAATTCCTATGCTCCCCAATTCCATCTAGTGGCAGTAGTGCTGTGCAAACAGTATTGACCAGCTGGGCAGAAGATTTATAAATCAGCCCCTTTGTATTGGACGGTGTGCAAGGTTTACAATTTTAATTCATTGCTCTCTGTATAACTGTTAAAAGACTGTTTTGTCACTTCCTCTGCCCCCCGTCACTGTGACAGGAAATGCCGGACAAGATTAGCAACAAAGGCACAAACATGCTCTTCAGTACTGGAGGGATGCGTTAAAAGAGACTCAGTCATAGGGGGGAAAAAAAGCTAAAAATTTTGCAGGCATACAGTGCAGGTACCTAGAGGTAATGACCCGCCTCCATGCTGCCTGATTGGCCGGGAAGCCGGCTCAATGCTGACTGGCTAGGAAGCCGGCTTCCCGGCCAATCAGCATTGAGCTGGCTTCCCGGGCAATCAAGAAGCCAGGTGACGGGTAATGACACGCCGCCCGGCTTCCCGATTGCACAGGAGGTCAGTTCCATGCTAGCGGAAGTACCAGTATTGGCAAGTACGGAAAGATAAACATTGGTACTTGTAACCAAAAAAACGGTATTGGTGCAATGATCGTCGTCCACATCATTATTCTGAGTATTAGTATTATTTTTTTTATAAAACATACAACATTTCCATTAGGAAGCAGAGGTTGAATGAACAAAAAGAACATCAAAATAGTCAAAGTTACCTTTCAGTAAATGCCTCCTGTTTCTAGTGCAAAGAATGGAGAGAAATTTCACTTCATCGGTCCCCCACTTTTTCTCACCAGCTTCATATAGGGCCTTAAAAGGAAAGGGAAATAATTATTCTACCAATAAAGTAGCATTTCCGCTTAGGAGTAAAACAGAAACTTTTTTTTATTTCCTACTCATCAGAAATGCTAAAAACTATAAATCACAGCATCCCAGCAATACTCAGATATTCCCACTATGCAGCATGACAGTCAAAAATCAGTATTACTGCTCAGCAATATTCTAACATACCACATTGTGGTATCTGCAGATGGCGGTCTTATTTTGGGTTTTGATCCATTTTTAACTTCAAGCAATATAAAGATACAACTATGTAATCATTATTACATCACTAAATCTCATTTTTAATGCAAGTAGTATTTAAGTACCTGAATTTGATTTGGCATCAGACATTCCTCTCTCTCTATGTCATTATAACCATTGATACTAGGTCTAAAAGTGAAGTGAGGAGGAGCAAAAATTCTGTAACAGGAATAGAGGAGAAACCTCCTAATTGGGACACTTGATCCAGAGACAAGTGTCTGAGAGGCTTGCCTTCATTTTAGAGAGATTTTCTCTTACTTCTGGTTGTGAGACAAGAGCATGGATGTCCCAAACAGGGCAATGTGAAGGGGGCCTAAGGCATAGAGGAACATTCAAGATCCTAAGCAGGTGTAATGAAACAAAATAGATAATTACAAAACTGATATTTTTCTGCCCCAGATTTAGAATATCGAGTTAGTCAAAACACAGTGTGCATGATGTTCCAGGAACGTTTCAAATGTTGCATTTTTGCTGCACTGGAACACGTTCTGTTAGCTGAATTAGGTCCTTCAAAAATGCAGTGTAACAAGCCTAAAAAATGTCTGACATTTAGTGCATGTGGTGGTAAAAAGAGAACTATGGGGTAAGTGTTTTTCACGGGACATATACTAGCATCCTCCCGTGACCCAAAGCTCAGTATATCGCCAGCTACAACTCGTGGTATACGGAGACCGCCGAAACAGCCAGGACAACATTACTGTCGAGATCCACCCAGCTGCGTGAATGACAGCTGGCTCTGCCTATCTAGAGGCAGAGCCAGCTGTACGCGACCCCTCCCCAGTCCGTTCCTCCAGTCAGCGCTGGAGGATCGAAGGGGGGGGGGGGATCCCTGCAGGGAGCTATTAATGACAGTCACGGCTCTCTGCAGGGAGATGATCGGGGAGTGAGCAAGCGACGGTATGTGTTCGCTCACTTCCCGATCTATTGAGCCGACCTGTGACAGTTTCATTGTCACACGTCGGCTCGAACTATGAGGATGAGGGATTTTCACTCATCTCATAGTTCAGCTTTAACTTCAGAAGAAGGTTTCTAACATGGTGGGGCAGCAGGACTTTACAGCTTTGCAAATGAGCAACCATTTAGTATAAAATGATCTTGGAAAGTATCAGAAGGGAATTATGGGAAATAAATAGTTTTTATGCCACTAAAACTCAATTTTTTCCCTAAGTTTTCAGCACTAAGCCTTTAGAGCAGCTTGATTTAAAAGTACCGTCATCAAACCCCAAAGCAGCCATTTCACACGTCTCGGTAAAATATACAGTTTTTCATTAAAGAAAACAAAAAAATAAAATCTTACAAATCGTTTTATTGCTGGATGACATGAAAAGAGATGGAAATTCATAACCAGCTCAGGATTGTACCTGAGGTTTTAAAAGAGACAAAGTACAAAGAGTTGGATTAAACTGAAATGGAGACAGTTACTTCATTGAAGGAGACGCGGGATTGCTCGCTTAACAAACACCAGCTAAATCTTTTGCACTTGGGTAAACTTGGCAGGTGTCTGTATTGGTGATGTCAAAGGGTGAAAAAGCATAGAAGACAAACAATGAAAAGAAACGCGGCGAACGTACGCAGGAAGGTGTAAACAATAGAGGGTTATTTTTGGAGGAAAAAAAAAGCCTGGATCCTGCTGTTTTCTCTCACACTTCAAAAGTCTTGCACATACTGTAGACGGTTCAGAATGATTTGTGCAAATGCTGTATGAGGTAAGACTGCTGCCTGCGTTCATTTCAAAAACTGTTCCTCAGATACCATGATCAATGACTAACAAAATGGGATTTTAAGATTAAACTTGCTTTATAGAAGGTGCAGTCATCTAAATGAGCATGAGAACGTGCAAGCCTTTCCAGTGGGGCTCACAGAATCCCTGCCAGTACTTCCAGAGTTACCTGAAATAACACGTGAAATGTCCTTTGAGTGTATTTAAGCTCCAGCATTTGAAGTGGTTAGTGCTGTGCCTTCTCACCGGCTACCCTTTGTTATAAAGAGCAACTGCATGACAGTTTGCAGCCAAAACAACACAGGACCACTACGGTCTCCGGCCCATCTCAATCTTTCGGATCTCTGGTGAAGACTAACTGGAAATTATTGGTCCTCAAATGTTTCTGTAGAACAGGCAGGTTATTAGTATTTCTTAGAATACACAGATAAAGTCTTCTTAATCGCGATAGATAACAGGAGCTGGCAACCAACACTAACATCTACACAATTTAAGAGGAGCTTTATTGATGCATATACTCTTTGTGCATGCTGATCACAGGGGGTGGAAGGTAGAGGGAATGCATCACAGATCCTTTAAGCAGGTGCAGCCCAAAGCTGGCCATGCACAACCAAAGAAATGCAGGAATTTTGACTGATTCAAACATGATTTGAAAACATAGGGACAACACAGGTAAGGTAACTTACAGTTGGAGAAGAGACTGTTGCCCTGAAAAGAGTTTCCGAAACATGGCAAAATCTCTTTGGAATAGATGGACAAGAGGATTGTGTTGCATCATGGAATGCTTTTATCTGAGGTCATGTGGTTTACAGTCAATGATCATGTACCCCTGTACAAGCTCTTAAAGTGTCCAACACCAAATATTCTGTTTATTGTCATGGGAAAATCCAGTTAGTTTAACAATGAGCTTGTGATAGCTAAGCACTATAAACCACATGCAGGGCAGGAGTTTAAGTTTTGTTTGTGAGAGGTGGAATTTCATTTTTCAGAAGCAAGCAGATAAAAGAGGTCTGCAGGTTCCTCTAGAATTGCAGCATGGTGACAACCCTTTCCTCCTAAAACTATCCTAAAATTCCATTCCTCTACTAGCCATTGTAAAACACACTTCTTAAAAGGAGAACTATGGGGTTAGGGCTTTTCCCAATAGTTCTCCTTAGGGTAACGGGAGGACACAAACTAGCGTCCTCCTGTTACCCAAAGCTCAGTATACCGCGAGCTGCTGAGACGCCGCAGCTGAAACGGATCCCGACATTTATGTCTGGATCCGCCCAGCTGCGTGAGTGACAGCTGGCTCTGCCTATCTAGAGGCAGAGCCAGCTGTACCCACCCCCTCCCCAGTCCGTTCTGCCAGTCAGCGCTGGAGGATCGGTCAGGGGGAGGGGAGAATCCAGTCACTCCCTTGTCACGGCACTCTGCAGTGACAGGAACGAGAAGTGAGCGAACGCCGGTATGTGTTCGCTCACTTCCCGATCTACTGAGCAGACCGGTGACACTTTCATTGTCACCGGTCGGCTCAGATTATGAGGCTGAGTGAAAAGCACTCACCTCATAAGGACACAGAGAAGCTGAAACAAGCTGCTCTATTGTCCTACACATTACCTTAAAAGTTATACATGTGGGCCAACAATTGGAATATTGGCCATCTGTCTGCATCGAAAAACAAGCTTAAGGCTGAACTACTCGAGTCTGGGTAGAGTAACACAGTCTTGAGAATCGGAGTAATTTTTCTTAAAAAAAATAGTAGGAATATACTGTAGCAAAAATAATTTCTTGTGACAGACAAATCTTTGAGAGTAAGGCTGGCATCAACCTCAAGATATGCAATATATAAAAGAGAAGAAACAGGTATGCTAATCCTTTCAAGATTTCATTCAAATGGTACTTTTGAAATTGTTTAATTATAATCCGATAATTTGCCTCTCAGATGGCTGTACTGGAAAAGTAAAGAAAGATGCCAGTGGGGTGCAAAGGAAAAAGGATTTCATGTAGTTAAGCAGGTAGAACATGGAATTATTTTGGAGAATAAATCAGACGTATCTGTTATTTTACGAGAAGCTCATGCAAAACTTCAGATAAAAATTACCTTAGCATCCTGTTGGGCAAGAGCATCATCCACCTTGTCACTCTGGTCTCTTCCTCCCTGAAGAGTGAGAAAACTATTTAAATACAGTTTTTCATATTTTACAATGTTAAATTCCACTTTGCCCTAGCAGCCCAATCTAAGCATCAGTATAGCCAATGACCATCCTGCATGGACTTCAGTCTTTGTTGATAGGCCTTCCTATCCCTAGTGTGTAAATTTGTAAGTGTACTGTCTCCCTTTATTTTGTAAAGTGCTGCACAAACTGTTTTCACTGTATAACTCCAGTAAAATTATAATAATACAATTCATAATTTGCATCTATAAATTAGTATAGAGAACAGGCAGACCAGGGAACAGGCAGAATAGGTAGACCAGGGAAAATAGTTAGTCTCCTCTGGAGAAAGAACTAAAGCATTCTAGGGCCCATAAACACAGAATGCTGCTGTAACGTACTTACATTTTACTGCAACACATTAAATATGTGTTATAGGTGTATGCATATACCCCAATACAGACTGCTCCACAGGGCGCCATAATGCTCTACATTGAATTGTAGAGTGCCGAGGTGAAAAAAAAAAAGAGCAGGACTGATTTATCCTGTGTTGGGGCCCTTTCAAAATGAATGGGCTGTGGTAATCCATGCAGTACTACACTGCAATATAGTGTGGATGGGTCCTAAAATGGTACAATGTCACATCTAAGCTCTATAGCTAAAGTAGACCTGCAATAATTAAAACCATACAAATGATGAATATAATATGCAAAAGCAGAAGTTTGTTTCAGTGAGATGATCAGCAGATCTAGAGATATAGGTAGCCTAACATGTATGCAAATCTCAACCCTTCAATTCCTACCACATCAGTTTCTTACTTGACCATTGTAGCTGATCATCACATACAGTACTAGTGAAGCCTGGGCACCATGAGAAGGCCAAAACCAACTTTAAGGGCTCATTCACACCTATTTGCGTGTTGCAGCACATGTGGTAATGCACATGAGTGTGAACGGACGCTTAATGTTCCTATAAAAAAAAAAAATTGCAGTGCTAACAAGCTCCTGTGTGATAGCATTTGGAGGTGACAGGTTCTCTTTATTGAATACAGGAGTTTGAGCACAGCACTGTGCTGGCTCTCTTGTGGCAGCTGAGATGGGACGGCTGCGAGTGCAGCGTTCCTGTCTCAGTGTTTACATGGAACAGAGTGGAGAATGGACGTTCTCCGCTCTGCTCCTCGAACTACCTTGACTCGGTCCCGGGTCCCCCAGAAGAGCGGGGGGACCCTGAAAACAACGGCGGGGAGACAGAGGCAGCCGGAGGTGTGGTGAACCATGGAGGGGGGGAGACGACACCTGCAGGCATATAACAAGTGATCTCGGCAGCATCGCCGGGATCACTTGCACTAAACGAGCAGCGGCTTCTTCGCTCTACATTTAGCCCAGCTTGCCTGAAGCAGGGCTAAATGTAGAAAAAAATTACCCGCTAGGCGGCTGTGCCACCCCTCTACTCCCTGCTACCTCGAGGCCAGGCCTTGGTGGCCTTGTGGGAAATCCAGCCCTGGCCATAGAAAAAAATGAGATTTCTATTTATTTTATATCTCTATGCACTAAAATGAATGTGTTTTATTACTGGAAAATAAAAATGTGTGAATAAGCCCTTACAGAAAAGGTGAGATTTTCATGTAACACTTTAATTGCCTATATCTCTGGATCATTTGGTCTCCTTCCGTACACTCCATATGAATTTTGCTCAGTTTTTCTGCTCTATTTGCATTGCCCAGGGTTGGATCTTTAAGCCAGGCTATGTGAATATTTTGAGTTCTGGAAACCAAGCAGCCTTTATTCTATAAACCCGGTATATTTATAAATATGATTTTGATTGTTGAATGCAAAAGATGGCCTTGACTATGCCTCATGCCTACAAAATAAAAGTATAAAGCATTGTTTTGATTGTGGAGCCTCTATGATGTAGAGCATTCCTAGCCAAAGGGAACTTACAGTAGCTAGGGATACCAGCACCCTCTGGAACATGAAAGAGGTGTCGGAGCAAATATCGTCCTCCAGAGACTTGCCATTTTCTGCAACAAAAGGGAAAATGTGTGAGATCAAAGTACAAAAGCAAAAAAAAAAAAAGCTTGGTCTGTCAATGGTCTAAAAAAACATGTTTGATCATTGGTTCATTGGTACAGAAAATGTCAGTAGTCTGAATAGTGGCTTAGTGTTTAGACTGCTTACCTTGCTGGATTCCTGCTAGTCTAAAGCTGGCATATATGATCGCATTTTGGCTGTTTTCTGTTGAATGAGCTAAAATTTCATCTGCTCTTTCAATATTTGTTAAAGGAGTTGGTTAGAAAATTGTTGGTCGAACAGTGACTACAGCCAATAAGCTGCAGTCATTATTCGGGTATTACAATAGCCACGGGGTCCTGGCTCTCCACCACTGTCCTGAAATCATTAGTCTGTATTGTTTTAGAAAAACTGTCACATGACACCAAACAAAAAGGTATTAGTATCTGTGAGGACTTGGACAAGTATCAGTACTTGCTCTGGTAAAAATGGTATCGGTACAATAATATATACATATATATTTTTAGAGGTGCACCGAAATGAACATTTCAAAACCAAAATGAAAAAAAAAAATGTCAGGCCAAAACCAAAAAAACATTTTTTTTTAACTTTTTAAAAACTGTTTTAACACCTTTACATTTTTATAAACTTTTACATTTTCCATATTTTATATTTTTATTTTTTACTTTACTTTTAGAGGCTTCAGGCCCCTGATATTTCACTTTTAAAATAGAAAAAGAGATTGAGAACATAGTGTGTTTATGTTTACTATAGCCACAATCATGAATGAACAGGAAGTGATGTAGATCACTTCCCTTTCATTTATAATTGAGGCTATAGTAAACATACCATGCCCTCAATTATGTACCGGCACTCAGCGATCACTGATTGCCGAGTGTTTGCACCCGCTGCTTATCCTGACTCGCTGTCACAGGAGGCTAAACGAGCGGTGTGGGGAGGAGATCTCGATATGACAGCTGACGCCTCCCCTCTACTGCTGGCCGGCCTCCTGTGACAGCTGTCTCGCCGCACACCCCCTCTCTCCTGATCTGTGGCAGGAGGTTGAGCGGTGCAAGGAGGAGAGACGCTGGCAGCTCACAGCGCTCTCCTTCTGCACCGCTCGGCCTCTTGAGACAGTTTCTCTTCTTCCCGCTGGGACACAGAGCAGCGCCAGCGCGGAGGAGAGAAAAATCAAGGATGCACCGCAATTTAGGCCAAAAATACGTTTTTTTTTGTCATTTTGTGTGTGTATATATATATATATATTTATTAGGGATGCCCCGATTCCATTTTTTTAAGACCGAGTACGAGTACCGATACTTTTCAATTACCGATACTTTTTCTTAAAGGGAAAGGTCAAATTTTTTTCTAAAGCAATACAAACTAAAATGCACAAATCCCAGGAGCCCTGTAGCCAACGCTCCCTAAAGATCACAGCTGCCTAACTTTTGAGTTTCAGTCTAGTCTAGTCTAGTCTTAGAGCTGGAAAAGTATCTGTACATGTACCAAGTTCGATACTTGGTAGCTGAACATCCCTAGCATCTACATGATTACATACATATTGTAGTATGTAAAACTAGTACCAGTAGACCAAGCAAAATATGGGCTAGATAAAACAACAACAACCTTATCGCCAGCCGCTCAAATGTACAGTATATCCAACGACTTAAAAAAAAAAAATCCACTAACCAAAACCCAAAAACTTCACATATACTGCTCAAGTAACTGGTTGCAGTTACCAACTGTTCTTATATACATAATGTTGGAAATTCAGCAGCATATGCTAATGTACTGTTGTGTCTTGAGCTGTAGATGGCGCTGTAGTGCAATGTTAAGTCTCTATGATATATACAGGAAGTTTTCTCTGTATGCTGGATAAATGCTGTATTCTGATGTAATATTCTCCTAAGCAAGTAAAACTTAATTCAGCATTCCTCAAAAGCTCAGTGCGTCATCTAAACACGTAACCAACACATAAAATAAGCTATATTATCCAGAACATACTCAGTTTATAGGTTACATTGATATTACGAATTTCTTCTTCTGACCGTGAAGCCAAGATTTCAATCAGACACCCTTCATTAGTTCCTGCACCCTACAAATAGGAACAACAAAAAACAGTCAATTTAGTTAGCTTCTGACAAATACAAAAATAAAATGAAAACACACACACACACACACACACATAAAGTACATACATGTATATCCATTGTGGCTATTAAGCATTATATAAATAAATAAAATAAAAAAAACGTTTGTGCCCGGAGTTCAGCTTTAACAAGAGAAACAAATAAGAGAGCTGCCATTGCGATTATCTTGTCAGTAAAAGAAAACAAATACACACACAGCCACAATGACATTTTTGTCTGATCCTTCACATGGAAAGGTTCAGCTTAGTTTTGCTCTTCTTTTCTCTTGCCAGTCATATTGCTCTCTGACTCGTTTCTGGTTATCCATGTCTGCTGCCTGTCCTGACCCACTTATTCCCGATTATCCATGTCTGCCATAAGCTTTGACCTCTAGCTTGCTCCTAACCATCCATGCCAAAATTCACGCAGACTTCTGAACTGTTCCTGGTGACCTCTGACTCGTTGTCTGTGTTGCTTGTTCAGGGCTAATGCAGGGATCGCAACCTGGGGTTAGCATGCAGTAAAGACCAAACCTCCATGAGGTGGCCCCTGGCAAATACTTGCTGGTTCTTTGACTCAGTGCCCTGGGAAACCCAAGTCACCTTCTCTCACATGGGACTATCCTGATACTTCAGCAGGTCCTAATCCAACTTCCCAGTTTTATCCATTTCAGAGTGACCCTAGTCCAGTTTCCGGTAAACCTCTTTCTACCAGTCTGCTCCCATATGGCTCCTACTCCACAGATCCAGCTTGTGCCGCCCCAACAGGGGCATAGAATATGAGATGCATAGCCTCACTTGTTGATCTAACCTGCTCTGTGGTGCTGTGCCCTACCATGAACTATGGAATCCTGACATGTAGATCATTTGTTTTTATATATTGTAACAAGGACACTCCACTGTAGTCCAGGTAAGTCAAATCAAATGCAGTTTATTTAGGGCAAACAGAAAGATATCTTGCATCAGCAGCAACATAAGACAGTTCCCTTTATATGGCTCAGTAGATTTGCTTATGAGCCCTCACTCTGCTCTCTCAGCAGTGTGTCGTAGCGGTCCTAGGGTCACCGACCTTCCTGACCTCTCCCCTCATGGGCACTCAAACACATCCCTCATGTGTCACTGGCTCTCTGTCTCCTCGGCTGTCTACGAGGTGCCTCCAGCACACACAGCCACCTGGCTCCCCTCTGACGTCTGGGTGGAGTCCTCCTGACTCCTGAACACCTCTGTTCCTCTTCCCAGCTGGAGCCCAGAACACTAGCCAGCACCCTTTCCATAAGGGCTATGCACAGGTGTGCAATCATTAGGTTCTGGCCCCTACTAAACCATGGACCCAGGAATGGAGATTTCATCCCTCCCAATTCTCTTTGAAATCTCCCAGTTCCAGGATCCCATACCAAATCCAGGTTTTCTGGAGAGAACTGCAAAGCCAGTTCTTTCCCAGCAAAATAATTTGTTTCCTGGAACTGCTCAGTCTCTCTGGCTGAGAGTCCTGGGTTTCTACAACCCCCAGTTCCACTGTGGGATTGCCACACAATACCACAATATATTATATATATATCTCTGCAAATTTCACAAGACTTTGTCACCTTCACTAGTGTGAGCTAACCAAATTCAGGTATTTCAAGTTATTCCCTTTGAAGACTCTAAGCTCTCGTTCAAATGTTTATGATAATTCCTTATCCAGACCCCAACATTCAGCATTCCTGAAAGTTCACCCGGTTTGCATTTGCCTATTTTCAGCCTTTACCTCCATGAATTTAGCTAATGTTTTTATAAATATGCCCCATGCTCTATTTTCTCTATCTGCTATACCCGCCCTTCCATGTACTTGCATTTACGGAGATAAGTGCTATTAAGTGGTTCCTCATCACTATTAAAATCAACAGATAAGACTTTATTTTCATGCGTTAATTGGAATGAACTGCACATCTCTAGGAATGGCTATTTATAGTTTAATTATGCCTGCAGCCTAATACATATTTAATCATGTAATTATTTTCTTTTGGAAAAATGTGTACAGTATATAAAAAATAAATTTGCACTAATGTAGGATACATATAAATCATATCACAGACAAGGTATTGAAGTTACAACTAACACAGACACACAAAACAGACCTAATGTAAAATGTTATCTCGATTCATGTGCCCAGTGGCGGAACTACCGTCGGTGCAGCAGGTGCTGGCGAACGGGGCCTGAGGCTGTCCTGGGCACCCCCACAGCCTCAGTGGGGTCCGCTCCTGCAATATGGGGCAGTGCAGGGTCCTAGTGTTAGATCACCGGGGCCCCGCACTGCCGACGGGCTTCTCGGTGAGGGGGCAGGTCCTGTGACTCACCTCCCCTCCCGTCCGCGTCCATAGTAACAGGCGGCGCGAGGGGAGGTGAGTCACAGGAGGCGTGTGTGTGTCACAAGCCCCGCCCCCTGCAGTGCACACATCGATCTGAAACTGTCTTGCTGGGTAAGTCCGAGCGCCGTGGGGGGAGGGGGAGGGGGGGGGATTTATATGGTTTTTTTATATGGTCTCATAAAAAAACTAGAATTCCGCAGACAACCATGTACCAAACTAGGCACACTGGAGGATTAGGCATACCAAACCTCCAAAAATATTACAATGCAGCCCAATTGGCAACGGTAACCAAATATCACGCCACTGACGAAGTCCCACTTTGGGTTTTCGATAGAAGCTTTAGACCCATATACAATTGACAACCTCCTATGGATGCTTCCCAAAGATAGGACCGCCATTACTAACACCATTATTCGCCACTCTCTCCGGATATGGGACGCCTCTAAATACTCCAGTGGCTTTCTCTTCCCTCACCTACCCATGCTTTCCTTCTTTAACCATCCTGCTTTCCCTCCAGCATTCGACTCTCCGGCCACATTCCACAAATGGAAAGAAAAGGGAATCACACGTTCCACTCCACATTTGACAAATATTATGCCTTTCCCAGAAATCCGAACTAGATACTCACTCCCATCCTCCGAAATCTTTAGATACCTACAAGTCAAGAGCTTCATACATGCTAGTGCGAAACTAAGTGGTAATCTTCTGTCTATATCCCCATTTGAAAGGTTCTGTAAACGGGATCCGCACTCTCCTGGCATCATCTCCATGCTCTACATAACATCCTTACAACCGACCCCTTTACCACATCACCCATATATGGACCGCTGGCAGAAAGACCTAGACCTTGTGTTATCAGAAGACACCTTGTCCCAGATATGGACCTCCACCAACTCCTGCTCCATGAGCGCCAGAGTACTCGAAAGAAATTACAAAGTACTCCTTTGTTGGTATACAACCCCCTCCCAGGCTTAGCATTATCTGCCGGGCTGTGATGGCTCGTGCTTCTGTGGTTGCCCTGACAGCGGCACGTATATCCACATGTGGTGGTCATGCACCATTGTTTACACCTACCTCTCAAACAGCACTACTCAACGTCAGACCTACAAATATCTCCCATCCTCAATTCAAGTTGCTGCTACAGGTCCTCTCTGCAGCCAAACATACCATAGCCAGCTCATGGTTTCCCAGTAAAATTTCCTTCCGAGCCTCCAAAAAAAGAACCCACTGGATTTTCTCCAACGAAAAACTCTTGGCACGCCTAAATGACAAAATGCCGAAGTTCGAAAAGATATGGGAACCCTGGGTGAAACACTTCCTCCCGCCGACCTTTGATGCCCGCTTACTGACTGTCAGGATGCCAGGGGCGTCACCCCCCCACGAGGTCAGAGGATACGGCATAGGGTACAGACCACCCTTCAGCCTGGCAGACCCACGGCGCTCCGGCGGCCACTACGCATTCGCGAGCTACGCGCCGGGTGCGCGTGCGCAGTACACAGGCTGCGCGCGCATCCCGGGGCCGTGCTCGCAACACGCGTGCACCTGTTTGAGCTTCAGTTGTGGCCTTGCTGGGGGAGGGTCCCCAGCCCACACACACACACACACGCCTTTCGCCTGCCATTGGCCCTCGGGAAGGGGGCGGACTCACACCCCCTGGCTATAAAAACCTGGCCAGAGCCCTGGCTCAGTGCTGAGTTATTCCACCTTTTGGTGTCACATACGAAGCTCTCCTCCTATGTGCCTTGCTGCCTGTTACCTGAATCCTCTGCTGACTTCCCGTGTACCGACCCTGGACCGACTATCGCCTTTGACCCTTGCTGCCTGCCTCGACCTTGGATTGCGCTTGACTACCCCTTTGGATTGCCCTTTTGTTACCTTGCCTCCGGACTTTTTAGGCCGCTTCCTGCCAGCGGGTTCCCTCCGTGCTGTTGCCCGCGGACGCTCCTGACACTGACCCTTTAACGCCCTTTAACACCCTTAAAAAACACTTACTCTCTAGCTTACTACTGACTAGACCATTTGTTGGATCGTGCATCATGACTCCCTCTGTTTCTCCCCCCCTCCCGATCTCCTACCTCTCCCCCAGTTTCTTTTCCCCCTTTGTTTTTTTTATTCCCTTTTATTACGTGTTTCTGACATCTGTCGGGACCCCCGATAGAATGGATTCTTGCCTTTTATAAACATAGATTAGGCGATCGCTATAGATTGCCAAATTTTGATGAGCATATTTTCTGTAATACACCAATGTCTATGCTTGAACCGTTATCCACGCATGCACACTTTGAGTGCGTGCACTAAATGCTTTGTACTTGTGAAAAAAATAAAATTCTTTAAAGTACACACTAAGCGTGTAATCCCTACTACACTGGGATTGTGTATGTGTGTGTGGTGTGTGTGTGGTGTATGTGTATGTATGTATATATATATATATATATATATGTAAAAAAAAAGACAAAAACGCAGTATTGCAGTGTCCAATGATACCTTTCTTATTGGACTAACAAAATATATACAAGACAAGCTTTCGAGAGTGAACCTCTCTTCTTCAGGTCAGAAGCAATACCTACATACATACATACATACATACATACATACATACATACATACATACCAGGAAAAAGGTTACTTTGTTTGTTGGTTGTTACCTTCATGGCTTTCTTTAGCTCTTGTGTGTCATATAGAATTGATGGGGTCAGCAGGCCGAGAATCACGGTTTCAAAGTGTCCTGTTAACTCAGATTTCAAGTCCTCTTCCAAATCCTTAAAAGTCACAAGAATACAACATTTAAAAAAAAAAACAAATACATTTATTTTAAAAAAAATAAAAAATAAATCTTTCTCTTTTCTTGTGGGGCAGTAAACCAAATCAACTTTTTTTTAAATCCATTGTTTTAAAAGCCAATTGCTTCCAAAAATGAATATGGACTTTTTCCTTCTACTTTTTCCTCTTATACGTTTTGGGGGCAATTAATTATCCACTGGGTTATCTTGAATGTAATTTGCCAATAACGATCCTTTTGAAGGAACACCATGATTATTCCATTATCCATGTACTAAATGTGGTCAATAGATCAGACGATATTTCCCTTTGTGTATGGTCATTGTGTGAACATCTTAACTTAGAATGATCAATTCATGGCATTCAATTTAAATAGCCACTAGTGTGAACTTTTTGTGGTAATCCTAACCAGTTAATACATCAGTTTGTATTTATTAAGTTGATTCAAATTTTACATTTTGTTTGCCTTTATTTATGTGGTTCTCTAAATTGGTAAATTACATGCCAAGCTGCCCCACAAAAGAAACTGATTGGTTAGGACAAACTAGAACACTGCTTGTAACCAATATTAAACTATAGCCATAGCAGATCATGCAACTTCTATGGAGCCCAGAGCTGTCTGGCTACACATTGAATAACATAAACCGATGTGTAGTATGGAAACCTTTTTATGAAAGATATACAATATATTCTGTGTCACCAAGTGAATTGCCTTTAAGGTTCAAATTTCAGAGACAGGGAGCCCTTTAAAGTGTATGTCCAACCAAAACCTTTTTTTTTAATGGCACTTTGGTGCTCCATTAAGGTCCATTAAGGAAATCCCACGATCGTACAATAATCGTGCAGTGTATGAAAGGCGTGCGACCGTTTCTACTGTACGGTCGCACGACTTTTGTATTTCGAGCATGTTGGAAAACCAGCCGAGAATCGTACGATTTTCGGCTGGTTTTTAGCATGATCGAGAGATAACTGTCGAACGGGCCGATGTTCGCACGCGCACACTGCCCGTTCAGCATTGCAGTCATTGGAAGCCCGCCCCTCAGGGGGGCGGACTTGCGAAGATTGCAAGTACGATCTGCCTGTCCAAGATGGGCAGATCGTACATTTTTTAAATTACTTTACAACCCTCGCAAGACAAAAGTCTTGCAAGGGTTGTAAAGTGTATGGGCACCTTTAGAAAGATTTCAGCACAATGGGTCCTTCTATAAAGCCACAAATGCGACTGTCACAAAAACAGCAAAAAGTTTTCCAGCACACTTACCAGCCATCATGCAAAAAAACCACTTGTCTAACCGCTAAGTTTAAAAACAGAGGTTTAAGATACACGTCTTCTGCAGAATATGTGAAAGCCGCACTGCCTCGTAAAGGCATCTCTGTGTAGCGCGGTCCTAACTCTAACCTATGAGAGTCTCCATCTTGGAGCACATGTAGCAAAAGATAAAATTGGGTGCAATCGCCAGGAGGCAGCCCAACCTCCTTGTCACCAAAACAGTCTCTGGTAGGGAATCAATCACTGTCTCTCCATAGACCTGGAAGATTCACCTGCACAGAATGGTTGCTGAATGCCAGATTCACTGCTCTATAATATATACAGTATATTACAATGGTTTTGTCTGACAATGGTTTTGCCAGGCAGGAAGCGAGGAGAAATTTCCAATAGCACCACAAACTGATTTTTTTTAATATAGCGTAGGGAAAGTTTTAACTCCTGTAAGCTTCACATTGCTTTCTGCTGCAGTTTTTCTCTCCCTTCCTGTCTGGCAAATCCATTGCCCGCCTGACTGTACGGTAGGGAAAAACTCTCCAGTGGAGCAGCGGAGAGCAATAAAAGATACAAAAATAATTTTGACTTTACATACAATTTAACAGTCTTGTCAATGCCACAGGGCCCCCATCACACATTGAATGTTTTTAAAGCAGAACTCTGGGGGGGAAAAAAACTACCCCACTTTTTGAATTTTTCTGTCAAGAACAAATCAGCATGTCCAAATGTTATAGGTACGCCCTACTGGTGTTTGTATAATTTACATGATTGGCATTTAAGTCATAATTATTTCATTATTTTAGGAGAATTATAAAAAAAAAAAACTCAAAAATACCATCAAAGGAATGCAATTGCTCAGACCAAAATAGGAAATCCCTCTAAAAGCTCAGAATGGTTGTTCTTCAGTAAACAAGCTTGCTGACAGAAAGAAGAACCTTCTATTGTTGTATTTGATTTATGTCACAGGCGAGCAATACAGGAGACGCACATGGTGTAATCTTTGTCTGATGTCGAACGTGGAAACTGTCTCATGTCACTGACAGCAGACTGGAACAAGTATCAATCTAAAATATACATTTATTTAAACAGCACATTTGAAACACAGGGGGAACAATTAGGGTGAGTAATGGGAAAGTATAACTTTCAGTAAGAAACAGCAATCATTCACATGACCGATTAGGGCTGTACACGGCTGTCAAGAACAGCATATCAGTCAGATTCATGCACATAAGCGTGCACTTATCACTTTGCTAAGAGGTTTAAATAGAAGAATAATGTCGTGCACACACATTAGCAAGTATGCATTTTAGCGTGCACACACCACGGAAGATGCACAGATGTGTGTGCTCAGCCACCACTGACATTGGCATCAAGCAGGCTATTTAAACCAGAAACGCAAAACGCAAAGCCTCATTGCTGAATGGACTTTGCCTGTACTCCAGTAACCTGTAATCTCAGATCATGATCTTGTGCCTGATCTTGGTTGCTGATCTGTGTTTCTGTTGACCTACTTCTGAGGTTATGCAAAAGAAATGATAGTCCTGGTTACAGTTTATGAATGGATATTTATTTATTTTTTACCAGGGAAGGTTAGTTTAGTCGTTTCCACTATCCTTCCATCAGCGTGAGAAAAGTCCAAGTGAAAAAACAGAATGTTACGCTTGTCATGCAATTTTGACACCTACAAGGTCTTCTAATAATTTCATTAACCTCAATATGGGAACTAGACTCACTGTCACATGGACAGCAGAAATCAAAGGGGAAATGTGTATAGTTCTGAGGTTTTACAAGAGAAATGATGTAATCACGGTTGCAGTTTATGAACTCATATTTTTTTACATTTTTTAAAATTAAATATTTTTTTTTTTTTACCAGGAAAGGTTACCCGAGAAGTCTCCATTATTCTTCCATCAGTTTGAGAAAAGACCGAGAGACAAATCGGGTTAAATTTGCCTTGCAGTTTGGGCACCAACAAGGTTTACTCAGCATTGGTATGTCCAGGACGAGGGCAGCAGTGGAAGTGGCCATATTTCTCTTATGACAAGTCTTCAGTCACCGGGCTAATAGGTGACCCTCTGCATTCAATACTTTGAGTCACTGACCCAGAACAAGTTTGCAGAAATACCAAATAAAAGTCAGATATCTTCCTAAAACATACATAGTACGTAGCTATTGAAGAAAGGTGAACAGCCAAGAAACTAGTATTTCCAGGAGGGAGGGCACAGCATTGGCAATCTCTCTATTTCTATCATGAGTATTTTCCTTTAAGGCCTGGGGGCCGCATGCGACCCTTTGGCATTTACGGTGTGGCCCTTGGGGGTTTTGGTGCTTACTTAAGCCAGTGAAGGAAAATATTCCTTAGACTGGCATATAGTAGTTAATTGGTTTGGTTTATTTTTTTCACATTATCTTTCTTTCTGTGCTGTCCATCCCTTTTCTCTTTGTATGTTTTGTGGCATTTATGTAACAGTGATTTTTAAGGGGGCTGTAGGAAGCACACATTTGGAAGCACTGGTTTGTGAAAGGGCTGAAATAGCCATGTTCTCTAGCAGTCTCATGTAATGTGTCTCCAGTCTATGAAAGACTTCTGAAGCACAGTTTAACCTTCTCCTGTAGCATGTCTAAAGTTTCCAACCATCTCCTGTAGCATGTGCACAGTCTCACACCATCTCCTGTAGCATGTCTAAAGTTTCCAACCATCTCCTGTAGCATGTGCACAGCCTCACACCATCTCCTGTAGCCATGTGCACAGTCTCACACCATCTCCTGTAGCCATGTGCACAGTCTCACACCAACTCCTGTAGCCATGACTCAGTCCTGCGCCCGGGGCAAGTGACCCCCCCGCCCCCCGGTTGTTACGCCACTGGTCTCACACCATCTCCTGTAGCCATGTGCACAGTCTCACACCATCTCCTGTAGCCATGTTCCTAGTCAGTGACCATCTCCTGTAGCAATTTTGCTGTCTCTATCCATCTTTTGTAGCATGTCCACAGTTACTAACCATCTCCTGTAGCTTGTTCGCAGTCTCTGACCATCTCCTGTAGCTTGTCCGCAGTCTCTGACCATCACCTGTAGCTTGTCCATAGTCTCTAACCATCTCCTGTAGCTTGTCCACAGTCTCTGACCATCTCCTGTAGCTTGTCCGCAGTCTCTGACCATCTCCTGTAGCTTGTCAGCAGTCTCTGACCATCACCTGTAGCTTGTCCGCAGTCTCTGACCATCTGCGGTAGCTTGTCCGCAGTCTCTGACCATCTGCTGTAGCTTGTCCGCAGTCTGACAGCTTTCTGCAGTATCACAGTCACTGGATATTATGTGCAGTCCTTTAGCGATGTCAGGAGCCAAACTTGAGGCCCCCTATATCAGTAAGGTGACCACCAATGCTTTAAGGGGCAAGTACTGCTGATTTCTTTTCCTACCAGTTTCTACTAAACCACAGGATGTCAGCCCTGTCCTCTGATCCCACCAGCAGACTGGCCAAGTAGACTTTCCAGTGCTCTTGTGACACAATCCACATATCAAACACTGCTGGTAAGACCTGAGGACCATTTTGAGAAGCTTTGCACTAAAGAGTTTCTCCTTTTGATCATTTCTGTATCCTTTCACTTAGAACACACTGAAAGAGTTAAACTCCAGGTACCGAGGAGGTAAAGTTCTTCAATGGTCATAAACACCAACAACTAAAGGGAGTCCCTGGCGCCCTCCAGCACTTGGTATGTATGGACAGTCTATACAATACTGCAGCACAATGTACTTTGTCTGTAGTATTAGCCATCACTGATACTGCATCCCTTGTCCTCCTGAATGGCTCCCCTGATGTGAAAGCTCGCAGGCACTTAAACACAGCTTACCTCTGCTATGAAGGCAAGCACTTGCTAAGTAAGTGACTTTGTGAGAGCAGTTATGCAAACACAATAAGACCTATTCAAATGTCCCTCAAAGCTTGATGTGCTGGTGTTACTGACTCATACCTGACAACCCCAGTCTAGTTCCTCAGCAACTGAACGTCACACTCGCCCTTCGCTAATTTTAGACTCCACAACTGCGAGCTGTGAATGACTACTGTACAAGCAAAGTGTTTTCTGACAGAGCAGTGCTGAAAGGATCATGACCCAAAACTGAAAGATGACAGGACCAGACTAAGCCTGGATAGCAATTATTTCTAGAAACCTGCAGTATTACGTGAACAATAGCGTCACATAACAGAATATCGCTGAACCTGTACTGCACAAAAACGTATATAAATAGTCAAAACACGCAACACTAATGAAGCCAAAACGGAACAGCATATTGTCACCACTCAAACTAGATACTTGCTACATGTTATAGGTTTTAGTTACATATATGCCATTGTCTTCAGACTTTCCTACATGTGCTGTTTTTCCCCCCAAGACTCCTGCATTGTGCAAGACTTCCAGCAGCTAATCGTACAATTAGATTCCATGCATGGATTACCAGTGGGAGTCAACGCAGCTTTAATGTGTATGTAAACCCAAAGTCTTTTTTTCAGTATGTTTGCCAATTGCCATCTTGCCTCATTGTATACACGTTTCTTAAAGTGACATTAAAGGCTATTTTTTTCCCCCACCCCCCAATGTTAGTGTAGAGACTTACCTTAAATCATGCCTCTTAATCCGATCATCTTCTTCTTTAGCGCTGGTGCGGGTCTCCGATCCAGCACTGACTCTTCTGTCCTCCTCTTCTCTGATGTCCCACAGAGTCTGTGGATGCACGCTGCTCCATAGACTTACCTTGTGTCTCTCCTCGTCTCCCGGCCGAACATCTGAACTGCGCATGCGCTCTCCCCAAGATCCTTTGCGGCTGCCAGATAAATTTTCACGGGAGCACGCGGCGGAGACACAGGCAAGTATTAACACTTTGAAAAAAAAATGTTTTTATTCGTTTTGCATATATCCACTGCTTACCAGTAGATATATGCAAAAACATGCAAGGGTTTAATAACCCTTTAAAAGAAGAAGTTAGGCTGGCCATGCACTACTGAATTTCTAACAGATTCCTTTATCCACACTAAACAGCATGGATGGGGGAATCCCCAATCCTCTAAACAACATGGAAGGGGAGCACCCACCCTCCTCCGCCCAATCAATGGGCTACTGCATTCTGATATTAGTTGTCAGAATACATGACCAGCATCTACTGCTGATTGGCTGCATTCACTGATCAGCCAAGAATCTTTGGCCCGGCTACACTCACTAAAGTCAATTGACTTTTGTCAAATGGAGGGATGCCAATGGGGACAACCACTGCTTGAAATTTGGCCTCTTTACTCAGCTGAAATTCAAGCAGGCCATCTTTAGACGCATTGGCACAAAGCAGATCATTTAGATGGAATACAGGTGGATCATGCAGGGTTCACAAAAGTCTCTAATGCAGCCAAGACATGACTGGCTGTCGTTAATTGATCCTATAACAGGCTGAAAGCAAATACACACCTTTAATTCTGGATTTTGACCCATGATTGGTCTACTAGAGCCAAACTCTATACATAATCCATTATTGCTGCTGTGATAGTTACATTCATAAAAGAAACAGTTAGACACTAAACATGCCTGCATTACAAGGTACAGAAGGCTGATGGGATCCATTCTTTTGCCTAAGAGAAACAAACACAGGATTCATATCATGTTTGGTGTCAATGTAATTTAATTCTGTTCAATAATCCGTTGGTTGTCAGATTGTGAGACCCTATCATCTGCAAATATAGTTGGGAAACTTGGCATGAAAGGAGTGTTTGCCAAGCATCATACAATACTCTCTAAGCCCTTCAACACACCCACAGACCCTTTGACTGGTTGTGTTAATTCTGTAAACACCCTCTTCAGGGACCAGAAAAGATGGCTGCATTTGAAGCTCAGCAGCTCTCATTTACCATCTGAATTATGAAGGGATGCTAGGATTCATTTACTCTGTAACTTTGGTAGACTTACTCTGCACAAGGCCAGGTGAACTTTGCCAAGTGATTTTCACCTTAAACCCTTTTTTAATTTACGTTTCCTTATGGTCTGTTTTGTCTTTTCTGTGTACATTTTCTTGCACTGTTCATCAATATTTTTGAATCATTCAGCTTAATCTCTTAATGCTTTAATCCAAAATCAAAGAACCATTACCTCCGTGAGGGCTACCATATTTTAAAAACTCTGTTACATTCATGTCTGGGAGTGGCAGCAAGTGATATACTGTAAATGGTCAAAATAGGAACAGCAGATGCTGCCATCGGTGTGGTTCGGTTAGAACACCTGGTGGCAGCTACCACATATAGTATGCGTGCAAAAGTTTAACCGCGGAGTTAACCTGTCCCAGTGACAAGCACTCAGTCTGCTGGTGCTTGCATAGTTGTCCCATGAGCTGGAAAACGTCTGCACACGGTGGGACCTAGGAATGCAATTGTCACATAAGCCACAGAATGCAACACTTCCCTGGGTAAATGATGTTGTCCACAATGTCCTTTCCCCTGAACTCTTACAGCGCTTCGATAGAAATCACCAGCACTCCGTAAATGAAAATTAAAAAAAAGTCAATTTATTTGGACTAAACGACACACATCGCATAATCCAACGTTTCGGGACCACGCAGGGTCCCTTCATCAGGGCAGAGATGTGACCAAGCCCTGTTGTACCACGCCGGGTCCCTTCATCAGGGCAGAGATGTGGTCACATCTCTGCCCTGATGAAGGGACCCTGCGTGGTCCCGAAACGTTGGATTATGCGATGTGTGTCGTTTAGTCCAAATAAATTGACTTTTTTTGAATTTCATTTACGGAGTGCTGGTGATTTCTATTGTTCGTCCACAATGTCCTCCCATTTGGCATTCTAAGCTTTAGTTGGAGTTCTTTAACACTCAAAAGATAAGTCATTTCAATATGATTCAAAATTGATTGTTGTGTTGCAGTCTTACCTTTCCTACAGAGGCCTTGTAAGCAGTTTTAATTTCCTGACGCTGGGCAAGGGATCTGTTTGCAATCACTTCGATGACAGCATTTTCATCGGTGCCTGAAGAGAGGACAGAGAAGTAAGATCACAAGACAGTTGCATCCACCATTCAGGCCTGCCGGGCAGACTTCAACCGCTTCCAGTCATCCATAAAACCTTTTCTTCCTATAACCATTTTATTCTACGCATGTGTGACAACATAATTCCAGTTATAGATTGGTTTGTTTTTAAAGCAAGGAAACTACAATGTGTGGGCAGTGCAGTGCTCCATTTGTCTTTTTGATGAATTGTTAGGGCTTGTTCACACTGAACGCAGTGCGTTCCAGAGCGGTAGCTGCTGGAACGTACTGCAATCCCTCACAAAACCTCCCCCTGCGTTCCATTGCAAACGCAAAAAATAGGGTATGCTCTATTTTTTGCGCTTGCAGTGGAACGGAACGCAGGCTAAGTTTTGGCACGCATCCGATCGCACTGCGGGTGAAGGGGCGTGGAAGTGGTGCCATTGTTCTTGCCTCGGCCGCAAAAGGAGCTAGCTACGCCTCTGATGCTCTCTGTAAGGACTGGTTGGTAGATTGTTATTCATACATTATGGTTGTATAAAATTGCAATATGCGATATGCAGGACTGCTTGCTCATTGTTTGTGGAAACCTTTTGACACTAAACTCAGTAGTTAAATCTTAAAAATGCATTCAAGTACCTTAACTATTAACAAAAAATGTATCTTATTTGTGTATCACTCGGCTGTAGATCCTCAAATCTCTGAATTGGTGCCGACACTGTCCTTCCTTTTGGAGGGGGGTTACATTTGTTGCCCATGGTCCCTATGGGTGTTTTAAAGTAGTCACCGCTCCAGGCTCACTCCTATGATGGACTACAATCTCACATTTAGTTCAATAGTTTGTATTCGGGTGATCGCAATGCACCGCCATGCCCCCTCCTGCTCCTGAATGCAAGTAGCCGGCCGGGTTGCGTTCCAGAGACTAAACGCTCTGGAACGCACTTTTGTGGTGTGAACCAGCCCTCCTGAGTTTAGTGCCACTTTAATATGGTTTCTGATAGATGTGTCAATGCCAATTGTAGGGTTTGCAGCAGACTGTGGCCTTTTTTTTACCATGGTAACTTCTCTTGCCCACCCTGTCTTAGTCTAATGCTAACCTCTAATTCCGTCTTGGCATTAATGCTATTGGCGTGAATCCTTGTAATGACCCCTGGCTAGTCTTGTTTTAGTTTGCAAATGCATCCTGCTACTTTAGTGGTGTTGTTGACTCCTGCTCAGCTTGTATTGTCTATTCTTTTTGCTCTTGCCCAGACCTTCCAATTAAGTGTGGTTCATTCATGCCTAGATACGAATATCCAATGTATAGTATATGGTACATTTGGGTAATGGTGAAAGTAAAAGGCAGCTTCTATAGACATTTAACACCACAACTTTATTTGGCTGCAGTAATATCTGTTAATATCTGCTGGGCGTTCCCTCTCCAATAATAAAAAATGTTTATTACACTACAGTAATATGGTCTAATAGCACTCTTACATCTTTGCATAATTCTACTGCCTGTGGCCATTAAACTGTAAAATGCGAACTAGAGATCTGTAATGGTCTTTTAGGGTCATGGGAGGGTGAAGTTTATCTTGAGACCATAGAACAATTGAAGGAAATGTGCTGTATCAGTAGATTTTTTATTTGCTCACTGGTCTGTGAAATTGCCATACATGCCCACATACTAAAACACGGCATATGGATCCCTTGGCCAAGAGCAGCTCAACATACATTTCTCTGCGTTGCCATATACCTCCCAAGTTTATTCAATATGAAAACAGCAGGAATAATGTGCAAATTGCAGTGGCCACCAGCAACCAACCAGATGTCCTTTTACTGTAGTCTGATACAAGACTATTCTATATTTCTCTTTTTTTTCAACTGCATTACTAAATATGTCTTAACGTAAAAGAAACCCCAAGAATCCATGGAAACGGCTAAAAACACACTTTAAATACATACTGTATATGTTTATGGATTGACTCGTCAAAGTTTTGTATTCTCTACAGCCACCCTTATAGTTTACACCCCTTGGCACAGGCAAGTGACACTTATTTCTCGGTTCAGCACTGCAACTTCCTGTGTCACTTCTCCAGGTTTAGCATGCTAACCGGACAATGAATCAGTATCAGGGAAGTGGTGTGCTGGCGGTGCACGTTATTGGGGGTGGTGGGCTTGGTGTTGGTGATACACGTTACCAGGGGTAGTGTTGTGATGGGATTTGGCGCTGCAGGCTCCTGGGGGAAAGGGGGGCTTGCACGGTACATCTGACCAGTGTCCCATCCAGCTCACTGATGTCATCTGGCCAGAAAGGGGCAGCAAGCCCCAATGAGCTGCTGTCTGAGGCAACCGTCTCAGGCTGCCTCATTATAAGGACGGCCCTGACCAGTATCACCAGCTATGTCCAGTTAGAACAGGGGTGCCAAACACAAGGCCTGCGGGCCGAATCCGGCCCGCTGGACCTTGTAATGTGGCCCGCACAGCAGCCAGGGCCGGTCCGCTATGCCGACTCTGTGCAGAGCAGTGTCTACTGTGTGGTAGCGAGCAGAGCCGGCACTACCACACAGTAGAC